CACACACACACACACACACACACACACACACACACACACATACATAATATACATACATACAAACTCATGACCCATCTTTCACCCAAATGTCTCCCTTTCCTTATTTGTGACGTATACAAAAATCTCAGTTGTAAAAGCTCATCGTATGCGCATAGATTCTTTTGGAAGTTGGTTGAAGTTCTGCGAATCTGACGAACCGAGAGACAATAAGATCATGCCAGTCGACAAAGTAATAATACTAATAATGAATTTAGTTTATGTAGCGCATATCCACTTATGCAATGCTCTATACGCTTAACATGAAACACATTATGGAATTACAAATCAATTTTATGTGCACATAGTATTACATACGCATGCACACACATACTCACGCACGCACGCATCCTCACAAACACATACACACACGTACACACATACACACATACGCACGTACAAACTCACGACGATCTACAGCTTGGATGGATTCTGTCTAACTGAAATATGATGAAAATAGAAATGCTTTTAGCTTTTTCTTTAAAATTTCTTAGAGTCTTCCCACGATATTCTATTCTACTCACCAATGAAGTAAACAAAATACACGCTCATTTGTGGTTTGACGAGGTCACGACATGTCCACGACAGCTGACGACTCCACGTTTGCTTCATCTTGCCCACGTATCAATCATATCCTTACTGAAAAGACCCAAGGAGAGACGTTTGTATGTTTTGCTCAGTTAGTTGGGATTCGTTGCAGCAAAAGCAACGAAGACATGTTGGTCTTTGAATGCAGAACGCAACTGCTTTGACAATGAAAATTAATATTACCAAGGTTATTGACCACAATCCTTTCACTGTTTTGAAAATGATAGCATAGACGTAGGGTACCAAACACACTGGCTATGTCATCACCTAGAAGCGGCCCCATGGGATTTTTCGGCATACTTTTATTAAATGCTAGGGATAAAGATGACGAAGTACATGTATTTCCATCATCATCATCACCGACTTAACAATTTACCTTTTTCTTGTTTCGTATTTCTAAAAAAAATAACAATTTGCTCCATGTCAATACATTTTTACGTAACCAACAAATAAGGGTACCAAAATCTGGACACTGGACAACCCCCTCCCCTAAAAAAAAGACACCCCCCCTCCCTGAAAAACAACAACAACAAAACAACAGCAACAAAAATCGAGCTACTTGTCGCACAACGTTAGGTATAGAGTTGAAGAGAGGTTTGGGGGAGCAGATTCCGAGATACTGGGGGAACCATAAGAAAAACTTTAGTTGGGTTCGAGTAATACTTTTACGGCACTAGCGACACAGATAGATCGTATCAGTATCGAAGATTAGAGGTGTTAGCAGAGAGTAATAAAACCGAGAAAAGAAGAGAAAAAAGATAAAGATAATAATAGATAATGATAATAAATAGCATTTGTATAACGAAAATCTCCGCTCAACAGCAAGCTCTATGCGCTTCACAATCTATACTAGTACTCCATGTTTTATATATATTATATTATGTTTGTATGTGTTCACTTATACAACCAGATCCAGAATGTTGGATTGTTGGCGAATGAATTGACAGAGATAGATAGATAGATAGATAGATAGATAGATAGATAGATGGATAGATAGATAGATAGATAGATAGATAGATAGATAGATAGATAGATAGATAGATAGAGATAGATAGAGAGAGAGGTATCTAAAAGACATAGAGAGAAAAGAAAGGCAGTCAAATAAGTTGAGTTTTGACACATTCCAGGCACAGTCTACCTTCTAGATCGTTAAATATTCCCTGTCACCTCCTGAAGATAGGTTGGAGATTCCTCTGGAAGATAATTCAAAACTGTTATCAAAATTTAAATGAAAAGAAACGATGACTGATTTCCTAACAACATCATCATCACCGAGTATTCAACATTTTCACCGTCACTGAGTGTGTATGGTCGCTTTTAAGCACGAAAAATGCTGTTTTGAGAAAATCGAAGGTAAACTTTTGCCCCTAGTTCATTTTCTTTAAAAGACAAGGCGTTTGTTTTCGCTGTAACTAAACAAATATACACACCAATGGAATATACGCATCTTCCCCTATAGGTAGGCAAAGCCCACTTTTGGTGTAGGTCAAGATTTCTGGAAACCGAAAAAACATGGGTTAGCCTGCTTGTCCTTAAAAGCGACAATATGTCACTGAATATAATTTAACATCTTCACCATCACTGAGAATTATTTATCATCATCGTCACCGAATATTTCACATTGAATTTAACATCTCAAATACTGAACCTCACCATCATCACCATCACTGAATTTCTGAATTTTTAACGTCATCACCACCTAGAAGTGGGTGGTTGGTAGGTTCTCTGGTGTGGTTTGCTCCTTCTTTCCTATTAAAACATCTATCGTCCTTATCTCTCCTCCTTCGTTTTTGTAACTTTCTTGTAACACCTCTATTCTTCGGCACTTATATGACCTTATTGTGTTGCACTTACAATAAAACTCTTACTAAAACTAAAAACAAAAATCCACCAAGAAGAACAGTCCTAGCCAATCCCTGGTCCTAGCCACAGCAACCCACGATAACGTTGTGGCACTCACACTCACAGCCGTAGACTTGCCGAACGCACAGTCCCGCTATGGCTGCACAGTTATGCGCCTTTGCTTTAGTCCCGTTCTCATCTTCGCTGATGCACAACAGAACTCATCAACACAAGTGGTTACGGAACTGAACAAAGTTCGAACTGCCTTATTTATAACATCAATCACAGAGCGTAGCGATTTAGTTGAGCGAAGCTGTATCGAGGAGCTCTTTGTTGAACGGCGTGTGTGCAATGTGGCGTTGCCTCGACGGGTTATAATTGTGTAGAGCAATGGGGAGAGAGAGAGAGAGAGAGAGAGAGAGAGAGAGA